ACCGTGATAAAGATACGGCGGTTCTGCCTGCCCCAGCCCCTGCTCCATCACCCGCTCCGTTACTTGCTCCGTCACCCGACGTCAATCGCCCTCTATCAGCCAGTCAAGGCTCCAACACCTCTGCTGAGGGGAGTTGTCGCTCGTTGGCATCTTCCGCTCGTTCAGATGCTCCTTCTCCTGCTACTCCTCTTCACGGATTCCGTCAGCAGTCTTTCTTGGAATCCGTTTCCAAGAGACAAACAGTTTGCGAGCACGCACCCGACGGTGCAGAAGCTGAACGTCCCCTGTCCAAGTTGCTGGTGCTGCAGTCCCTCCCTTTCCAAGTGGTGGACTCAGCACCTTTCCGAGAAATGATGGCTTGTGCCGAGCCGCGGTGGAGAGTGCCAAGCCGGCATTTCTTCGCCAAAAAGGCAGTGCCAGCCCTGCATTCACATGTAGAAGAGATGGTGGGCCAGTCTTTGAGCATGTCGGTCTCTGCCAAAGTGCACGGCAGCGCCGACGTGTGGAGCTGTAACTACGGTCAGGGACAGTACATGTCATTTAAGGCCCACTGGGTGAACGTGGTGCCAGCACAGCCGCACCAGCAACTTGGACAGGTCACGCCGCTTTTGCCTCCACGTTTGCACGTCCTTGGTCCAGCAAAGATGTCCGCCTCTACCACCTCTTCTTCCACCGTGTCCTCAGCCGCCACCCCCGTGCCAAGTCCCATTACCCGACCAGCATATCACATGTGCAGGGCGCAACGGTGTCACGCTGTGCTGCACCTGGTATGCCTTGGCGAACGTAGTCACACAGGGGAGGAACTTCTGAGTGTAATGAACAGAGAAATCGACAGATGGCTGTCTCCGCGCAAACTGAAAATCGGAACCATGTTGACCGACAACGGAAAGAACATGGTGTCTGCTCTGCGTCAAGGAAGGTTGTGCCATGCGCCATGCATGGCTCACGTGTTCAATCTGGTTGTCAAGCGGTTCCTAAAATTCCACAGCATCGCCTGATCTGCGACGTTGCAACAAGGTGGAATTCAACCCTACTATGTTAGACCGCCTTTACGAACAGCAAAAGGCCATCACCGATTTCCTGATGTTACAAGCGGATAAAGGTACTCCCCTGTGTAACTTAGATGTCAGCCATTGGCAGCTCATGCGTGACACCTGCCGCTTGCTCAGGCCCTTTGAGGAGGCCACGCTATTCGTGAGTCGGCAGGACTATGGGATGAACGACGTCATTCCTCTGTTGCACGTCTGGAACAAATGCTGTTAACAATGGCTGGTCAGGTGGTGCGGTAGACGTGGCGCACAGATCTCAACGCCACATGACCCCTGTGGGGGCAGGACAGGAAGAAGAGGAGGAGGTAGAGGAGGACATTGGTGCTCAGGAATTATTGAGTGAAATGGGTGGTTTTTCCACTCAGCGGACAGGAGTGGAGGAGCAGGAGCATCTGGTAGAGGAGGAGGAGGAGACAGAGGACCCAGACGCACCGTGGCAGTATGCTGTGGAGATGGAGGCAGGGAGTCCCTCGCATTCCTTGGCACAAAATGGCCCACAATGTCTCCTCACAATGCTGGGTGGGGGTTCCATTTTGTCATAGGGTGCTGTATGGCCTCCCATTGCTGCTGCCTCCACCGTCCACACTGTGGCTCCACACTCTGGTTTTGGCCCCGTGACTGCCCAAAATGAGTGAAGTGTGCGGTGATTCTAAGATCGACGGCACTCATCTGCATGTCATACTGACTGACAGTATTATTTCTCTTCCCCAGCAGACTCCAAGGGCATTTAAATTAAAGGTACAGTGTTCTGCACTAATATAAAGGCTCTCTGAAGCCTAGAAACACCCTTTTTATAAGTTAAATTCGCAGCGAATATATTCGGCTCGAAGCGAATTTATTCCGCGAATTCGGCGAATCAGCCGAACCGAATTTTTGAATAATTCGCTCATCTCTAGTTACCAGCATTATCAAAACATCCAGTGTGCATGAGGGCTTACAGAGTACATGTAGGGGGGAAAAAAAGCTAGAAAAAAAGCTGTTAGGAGTGTTTTAGTAGCATTTAGGAGTGTGTAGCATTTTTTCTCCCAGAAAAACGCTCTCAAAAGCTGTACAAAAACTTTTTTTTTCTGCCCCTAACGTGAAGCTTGAAAAACGCTACTAGGCTGAAATAGTGTGCATGGACACATAGGATAACACTATTTAGCTTCCAGGAGCAGAAAGAAAATGCTGATAACAGCTTCAAGGAGCTAAAAAAATGCTGGAGTGCATGGAGCCTAAATGTCATCCAATTTTTTCTTTAGACTTACTTTAACCTCCCTGGCGGTATTCCCGAGTGTAGCTCGGGGTAAAGTTTCAGTACCACAAGTGGTAACCCCGAGCTACACTCCTACCAGCTATTACTCCATGATCACTTACCTTTTCCTGCGGATCCTGCGATGTCTGTCATCTGGTTCCCCGGCCCCGGCGGATGCCGGATCTGTCATCGGGTTCCATCCCCTTGTGAGCGTCGGGGATACGTACGGGGGACGGAACGGCGGGAAATTTGAAAATGATAATAAGTGACATTCACTAAAATCACATAGTAAAACATTACTGTATCAAACCATTTCACATACATTTTGTCCCGAGTGCTTTGTCCTGTGCCCTGCCTGCATTTTTACTGTTCTTTCTGCCTAGAAACTGAGAAACGTCCATGGGGTCCAAAAAGCGTCCCTTTAGGTCAGAAGCGGTTTTAGACCAGCTAGAGAACAGCGATAGTAAACCAGAACCACTTGCAGAATTGAGTGATAATGAATCGTGGGGAAATTCGTCATCAGACACTGAAAACGATTTTGCGACTTTGCTCAGTGATGTGCGAACTTGGCGCTATATTTCAAATTTCAGTGTTTTTGGTTTGATTATATTATTGAAATAAATTTATTATTATTTTTATGATTATTTATTAAATTATAATTTATGATTTTGTGTTTCAAATTTTATCCTTCCCGGGATGTTTACTAGACTCTTGTTCGGACAGATTTCAGTGAGTTATTCCTAAAAATTACAGGCCTACAATAATAAAAATATATATTTCCATGCAAAAAAATTGTACCGCTTTCAGTACCAAAAATCTGAAATAATCATACAGACAGGGAGGTTAAAGTGTATTTCCAGGTGGGCAGCCAAACTGAGCTAACATCTATTTTATAATTATTATTATTATACAGGATTTATATAGCACCAACAGTTTGCTCAGCACTTTACAATATAAAGGGAGACAATACAGTAACAATACAGTTCAATTGCTCCTTGGAGCTTACAATCTAGGAGGGAGGGGCTAGTGGTACAAAAGGTAGTAACTGTGGAGGATGGACTGGTTGGATTTATTAGCTAGGGCAGGATAGGCTTCCTTGAAGAAATAGGTTTTCAGAGATCGCCTAAAAGTGTTAGGTGATAGTCTGGTAAATTGGGGTAGAGAGTGTTCCAGAGGATGGGAGGGCTCTGGAGAAGTCCTGGAGACGAGCTTGTGAGGACTTGGAGAGGAGAGTATGGTTTGGGTGATATTTAGAGACAAGATCATTGATGTAATTTGGGGCAGAGTTATAAATGGCTTTATATGTTATTGTTAGTGTTTTAAATTTTATCCGTTGGGCAATGGGAAGCCAGTGGAGGGATTGGCAGAGAGGGGTGGCAGATACAGAACGGTTAGTAAGGTGGATGAGTCTGGCAGCAGCATTCATGATAGACTGAAGAGGGGATAGCCTGCGATGAGGTAGGCCAATGAGGAGGGAGTTGCAATAGTCGAGGCGAGATATAACAAGGGAGTGAATAAGTTGCTTAGTGGTTTCCGTGGTTAGGAACGGGCGTATCTTGGAGATGTTGCGGAGGTGAAGTCTACACGATTAGGGCTTGGGTCTGAAAGGACAGATGATAGTCTAGGATTACACCTAGTACTGTGGCATGAGGGGAGGGACTGATGATTGTGTTATTGATCTTGATGGAGAAGTCAGGGGAGGGGAATTGTTACATGTTCTTACAAAGAATAATTTAAAACATATTTAAACATTTCTGCTTTCCATTTTACATGCTCTTTTGTGATAACTTCAGCACTGAAAAATCCACTTAGTTCTATTGTTTATTAGGGGCTGGGAAGTTGTGTTTGTCTTAGGCTAGGTTCACACTATTGAGGTATTGTAGGAATTGCAGCTCTTCCCACATTCACAACCACCCAAAGTCAAAATGAGATGCTCTGTACAGATGCAAGGGGCTGCCATTCATTCTTAGTGGCACCCCCACACATCTAAAACTTCAGTGCATTGGCAGGAATCACTGTAAAATCGCATGGTGCAAAAGCACCTTACAATTCCCCAGCCGCTGCAGTTTAACAATGGTGCAGGAACCTTTTTCCTGAATGAAACACAGGCATGGCAGCCCATTCAAATAAATGGGCTGTTGTGCCTGAGCAAACGTGGCTCATAGAGCCGCAATAGTATGAACCTAGGCTTAATTAATCCTATCTGTACTATGTTGGCAGATCTCATTATCACTTGTAAATCAGACTTTACATATACTTTGAATATATTTTAAGTCTGCGCCAACCAGTCACACATTTTATCATCAGCATAACGTTTATTTAACTCCCTCTGAAAACAGCCAGCAATCCTGTCAGCTACATTTCACTGGTTCTTGAGCTGTGCATCCCTTGCAGGCAGTAAATCCCCCTGCAGCGTGACTGCAAGAGACGGCTCTGCTTTGGAACTAGTATGAATCTCAGAGTTAGAGAATGGCAGCTGTCAAATACAGATAATCTTGTGCCATATTCCTGTTCAAAATAAATAAATGAATGTGTGTGTGTGTTTTTAACTGCTTGTCCAGCACCTTATAGGAAAAGTACTGCTACAGGGTGGCAGGGCCGCACAAAATCATATATATATATATATATATATATATATATATATATGTGTGTGATTTGCATTTCTGGGTAGGAGGCGCTGCCATGCCCACGCTACTATTGGCGGCTGGGAATGTCATTTACCGGGTCCCAGCCGGCAATTCCCAAGCGCAACTCGGTGATCATTGAGTAAAGCTGACAGGAGACAGACCTGTGTGTAAACAACACAGGTCTCTCTCCTGTCAGCAAGGACACACAGCAGAGAAATACAAAGCAGCATGTCTCCATAGTAAAACACACACAGCATATAATGTAAAACACACAATTAACCCTTTGATCACCCCAGATGTTAATCCCTTCCTGCCCAGTGTCCTTAGTACAGTGTCAGTGCTTTTTATTAGCACTGATCACTGTAGTACTTTCACTGCGGATGTCAATGACAGTTAGTCAGTTTACACCCAGTGTCAGTCCCGCAGTATTAAAAAAAAATTATAATTCCAGTATATATACTGCTATTTGTAAATGCTATAACTTTCATGTAAACCAATTAACGTACACGTATTGGTATTTATGAAGACATTTGATTTTTTTTTTTTTTTTTTTTTTTTTATTGGATGTTTTATATCAAAAAGTTGCAAATATTGTTTGTTTTTTTTTTCAAAATTGTTGTTTTTTTTTTTGTTTATAGCGCAAAAAAAATAAAAACGCAGAGGTGATAAAATACCACTGAAAGAAAGCTATGTTTGTGGGGAAAAAAGTACATATATTTAATTCATGTACAGTGTTGCATGACCACACAATTTTCATTTAAATTATGGCAGCGCCATATCACAAAAAATGGCCTGGTCAGGAAGGGGGGTAAGTGGTTAATTTTTTCTTCTATTCTGTGTTGTAGCATGATGGGCTTACCCTCCCATCAGCCATTTTGATTACAATACGAAGTAGTAAAAGAAGTTCCCTATACTACTGAGATGTTTTATTCAAATATTAAAGCTTAGTAGTCCATGGATTATAGAAGATCATACTAATGTTAATAAATGCAACTAAATAGGGAAATAAAGCAGAATATTTTCAGTGGCTGTTATGAATATTTATAAGAAAGAGGCAATAAGCACAGCTTATAAATAGGGTATAATTTTCCTAGAATAGATGATAATTTTCCTATAATAGTCTAGGAGGAGTAAAAGGAAAAAATGATCAGGTCTGAACTCATTGGCACAGCAGTGCATTACTTTGCACAGCTTATATATCACATGTATTCACATTTAAATACTGGATTCTTGCCCATACTGGTTATAACAAAAATCATAGCAGATTAAGGTGGAAATATGGTCAATACATGGCAATGGTTGTTTTTCCACTGAATGTCAAAAAATTGAAAATTTGCATATGACTTGTTGTTATCAGAAACTGTAGTGTAATACTGTATTTACATGTGACAGAATCAAATCACAAACCTATTACAGTATGCTCTGGCCACCCAGTGTACACAGAAGTCAAATACACCACTAGACAATAACTATTACTTTAAAATGCTGTGTGCTGACAGTAACATACCATTATCTTATCAGTATATCATTTACAACCACACAGTTCTGGGTCCCTTTACTGATAGGTCCAGCAGAAGCCATTTGGTCCTATACGCATGTGAATGCCATCACTACTCCAGGCATTTTCAGGATACAAACTGATATCTACATTGAATCCTTTGTCACACAAATGGATAGATTTACATGACGAGTGTTTCCTAAGACACACCAAAAAACCCTTTGAAATAATTTAGAAGTTAATTCAGCCTTTCTCAACCTTTGTACCCTTGAGAAACCTTTGAAATATGTATCAAGTTTTTGGGTACCCTTGTTAAACCAGATTATACCTATATCTCATGATACATTATCATGACAAATAAGTTGAAGAAAGGTTTGACTAAAAGAATGAGTAATGTGGTGTCCCTAACATATTTAACAGCCAGGGCATATAATTTAGTTACAAACCTCCCAAAAATAGTTTTTTAGCATTATTCTTGAAATGAATAACAACTGCAGAAAAGAAAGGCAGACAGTAAATCTTGTGGCATCCTACACATCCTAAACATTAATGGTTATTGTACATCAGGAGGAACCCCAGGGTTCCATTGAACCCTTGTTAAGAAACATTTGATGAAAAGTTTAATTTAGTATAACACTTTTATTAGTTTACAAGTACATTTTTATCGAAGTGAGACCAAAAAAAGGTCAATGGAGGAGAAAATAAACTCAGGGGGATTTGGTTTAGAAGGAACAGCCCCTCCAATGAGACAGATGGGAGATATGTGTAAGCTAATAAGTGAATGTATCTCATATAATTCCTCAACAACTGTCAGCTGCAATGGGTAATTCTGCTCCTGCCTCCAGATAGGAGTAGGCTGAAACACTACCAGAGTTCAGAAACATTTAAAGGCATAGTCCACCTCATTAAATTTAATAAAGGCACCAACATAAAATTTTAAAAATGTGCATGGGTAGCTGCAGACAATGATCATAGTTCATGTTATACTCTAAATATGGGTGTTACATGAAAAATGGTCCCAAAGGTAGACTATACCTTTAGGAAACCTAATACAAACATAACTGATTTTCATTTTTCTATGGTTGTTGGCATCTATGTCTTTAACTTGCAGTGATAAGATGTACCAGCCAATTATGCCTAACTGCTGTGGCCATTACAAATACAAAGTCACAATCCCCTAATGTGTTAATCACAGCACAGAATAAACAAGGAGTTTGACTGAAAGAGACAGATTGTAATACTATGGCTTTGTGTGAGGGGGAATAAACTAATGTAAAGGCATTTTGCTACTGGAGTTTTCATAAAATATGATTCAAGCATAAAATGTTCAAAGGACCATGTCTGAGAATAAAGAAAAGAAAATTAGATTGCCAATTTAAATAAAACTCCAACATGATGATAATTAGCACCAGTATTTTATGAGAAATATATCACACTTGGATCGTACATTTAGGCCATATTTGCGTTGTAACCAGTAACCCCCAGTCAAGAGTCCCTGGCAAAGGATGTTAAAAAAAAGTTCTGATAATTAAAACTTCTAGAAAACATTTTTTTTCCACTTACTTTCAACTGCCTCACATTGCCCTCTCATGGGATATCAAGCACTGGGGAAACCATTACCCATTTTTTGCTATAAATATATAATGATGTTAATATATCTTACCGGCTTTAGAAACATCAAAGGGATGCAATGATTTCTAAAAGGGAACATTGAATATATTAGACTAACTCTGGCGCTAGAAAAAACATAAATCCTGTGATATTCAGGATGTATGGGTTATTTATACAATAATATCCTTAACCGAGGACTGAGGCTTTAAAAGTGAAGATGCAAAATACAACAGCAAGTCTTTGAACTATAAACACAAATGTCGGAACAGCTGTCAAATTTGTTTGTGAAGCCTACAGAAATTTTAAATGTGGTCTCTGTGAAATAAAGCTTCCAGGGATGTCTTGTTTTGTGGAGTAAAAATGACAGGAAAACTACTTATGGGGGATCTAACTATTTACCGCTCTTCTCAACCAGTAAATTTGGTATATTGTTCAGAACTTCTCCTTGTCTTTAAAAGATGTCAGTAAATCTGCAATTGTTGTAGGAAGCTCCTTAGATTTAAAATAAGACCCAAGCCTCCTAGAGAAATTTTGTCTTTCTTTAGAAGTGGAACTTTCCACTAACCAATAGCTTGGCACATGGACATATAGTGTAGTATATATGTGAGGCATGGAGTCATAAATGGTCTAAAACATCTAGGACCAGGAAATGTGGTTTACATGGCCAATAACATAATAAGGTGAAATGGGGCCTTGAATATGCATGTAAAGGCACATTGCAATGCCCTGAATCAGATATATATGATATCATTAAAGTGAACTAAGTGTCATATATATTTAATTTAAGTGCATTCATGCTGAGTAATATGTATATCACCTACAGTTACGTACAACATATTACCTCTCACAGAGATCACAGTACTCCTCCTGGCATTGGTTTCATCTGCTTTTCTCTCCAAAAAGGCAGTGCCATTTTGTTCACCCATTATCCAGAGTCAGCATCAACTGTATGTACAGGGCTGAGATGTAGGTTCAGAGATTACACAGTCATTTAAATCCTGGTTTCCATGTGTTTGTTTCTGTGTTCACAAATGTTTGAGTCTGAGCACTGGGGAGAGGAGACAAAGGAAGTGCTTCCTCCTGCCTGCAGCAGATTTCTTGGCATCATCTCAGCCTATACAAAGTCATTGAACTAGAGCTTAAAAAATGCTTATTGAAAAAAAGTAGTTTTTTATTCATTATATTTTGCTGTATATTGTGACATATAGGAAATATATTTATGAAAACTGTTAGATGTACAGGAAAGTCCATTTTAAATTACTGTGATTTCCAAAAGTTACCTATTACCTATACATAGTGGTTGATTTACTAAAGGCAAATACCCTGTTCACTTTGCAAGAAAATTGCCCCAAAATCTAGAGAATGAGGTGAAGCTCTGTTGACTTCCACCATCCAATCATGTGCAAGCAAAAATGCATTTTTTTTTCTTTTAGGCGACTGGGCATTTTTTGCAAAGTTAAACTTCACCAAACTCACTAAGCCTTAGGAGAAATTCCCTTGCAAAGTAAAGAGCCTCTTTGCCTTTAGTAACTCAACCCTATAGTGCTATCAGTCAATACATTCTGGATGAAACAGTATCATCTCTGACATATGACACTTGTGCTTTAATTTTTCTAGTTCCTTGTGGACTAATATATTAAACGTTCAAAATGGTCAACCATACCAGAATACATTGTACAGACCTACTTGAGTGAAAACTTTCTTTTAGTTATAGATAGAGTAACAGTTACAAATAGGATGCAACATGTTGTCTAACTTTAATTCTATTTCGCTGGCCATACGTATATATGTGGCCCCTCGGCAGGTGAGCCTTAACGGTAAGAGGCTACATATATGCACACCTAAAAAAACAACTATGCTGAGAGTGTGTACCCGGCACAGTTACTGGGGGCAACAGAAAGCTCCCAATCTCTACTTGTGATCAGGAGCTTTCAGATCATGTGACCGCTTTGACAGCTAATTACAGCAGTCACATGATCAGAAACTCCACTTCTCTTCCCGGCATCTTAAAGGACTGGGAGGAGCCAGAGCCAAGGGGTTAAATTATGTCTGTATCTGCCTAAAAGAGATTCTCGAGAGGAAGAAGGTAGAATCTTGTAAATGAGGACACAAACTTCAATAAAAGTTATGACCCTTCCACTGTGTATAATGCTGGTAGTATCCCTAATATGAGGATTTTCCCTCAAATAGACAGAAAGTGGGGCGAATATCTCCAGTTTCATCAAATGGACATATAATAAGGAGAAATTTCCCTTAAGTTTTAACTGTCAGGTTTTCTTGCCCTTTAAATCTTTTGCAGCAAGTGAG